TAGACACAGAAAAAGACTTGATAAAATTCAGCACCACTTTATGAAAAAAAAACTGTCAACAAACTGGGCATAAAAGGAACATACTTTAAAATAATAAAGGCCATATATGGCAAACCCACTGTCAAAATTATACTGAATGACAAAAATTCTAAAACATTTCCTCTACATTCTACAAGACAGAGATGCTCACTTGCATCACTGCTATTCCACATAGCACTGGAAGTCCTAGTCAGAGCAATTAGGAAAGGGAAAAAAAATAAAAGGCATCCAAATGGGAAAAGAGAAAGTCAAACTGTCCCTATTTGCTGACAATACAACCTTATATCTAGAAAAACTTGAAAAACTCCATGAAGAAACTCTTGGATTTGATAAATTAGTTAGTAAAGTTGCAGGATACAAAAGTCAAACCACAAAATCAGTAACATTTCCATATACCAATAATGATCTAGGTGGGCACAAAATCAAGAACGTTATGCCATTTACAATAGCTACCACAAAAGGAGATATTTAGGAATATATTTAACAAAGGAGTTGAAAGATCACTACAAGGAAAAGTACAAAACACTAATGAAAGAAATTGTAGATGACACAAATAAATGGAAAATAGCCCATGCTCAGATATTGAAAAAATTAATATTGTAAATTACCAAACTGACCAAAACAATCTACAGATTCAATGCAATCCCTATTACAATATCAATGTCATTTTTAACAGAATTAAAAAAAAATCCTAAAATTCATATTGAATCAAAAAAAAAAAAGAAAAGAAAAGAAAAAAGGAACTGAATAGCCAACGACAATCCTAAGCACAAAGAAAAAAGCTGGAAGTATCATATTACCTGATTTCAAATTGTACTATAAGGCTATCATAACCAAAAGAGCATGACACTGTATAAAAATGGACACATAGACAAATGGATCAGAATAGAGAACCCACAAATAAAGCAATATTTTCATAGTCAGTCAATCTTTGACAAATTCAGTAAGAATATACACTGGGAAAAGGACATTTTTTTTCAATAAATCGTGTTGGGAAAATTGGTTTTCCATATGTAGAAGAATGAAACTGAACCCCTATCTCTCACTATATATAAAAATAACTTCAAGATGGATAAAGTACTTAAATGTAAGACAAGTAAATATAAAAATATTATACTGGAATAAAACATACGGAATATTCTGAAGGACAGTGATCTAGGGAAAGAACTCATCTGTAAGACTCAAAAGCACAAGCAATCAAAATAGACAAATGAGACTTAATTAAACTAAAAAGTTTCTGCATGGCAAAAGAAATAATCAACAGAGTGAACGGATAATCTTCAGAATGAGAGAAAATATTGCAAAATATGCATCTAACGAGGGAATTAATATCCAGAATAAAGAAGGAACTCAAGCAATTCAACAACAAAAAATATTTCTATTGAAAGTAGGAAAATTATATGAATAGAAATTTTTGAAAAAAAAAAAGACATGCAAATGGCCAACAGTTACATAAAAAATACTTAGCATCACTAATCGTCAGAGAAATACAAATTAAGACTACAATAAGATATCATCTTACCTTAGTCAGAATGGCTAATATTAAAACATCAAAGTAACAGATGTTGGTAAGAATGCAGAGATAAGGGAACTCTTATATACTGTTGGCGAGAATGTGAATTAGTAAAAAGTCTATGAAAAATAGTACAGAGATTTTTCAAAGAACCAAAAATGGAACTTGCATTTAATTCAGAAATCCCAGCAAATCAAATCCCTATCATAATATATACAAAAGACATCTGCACTTGTATGCTTATCACAGCACTATTCACAATAGCAAATAGACTCAACCTAAGTGCCCATCCACAGATGATTGGATCAACAAAAGATGGTATATATGCACAATGGAATACTACTCAACCATTAAAATAATGAAATCTGTCTTCTATAGCAACAATAATGTAACTGTAGGACATTTTAAGTGAAACAAGTCAGATACAGAAAGACAAATACTTCATGTTCTCACTTGTAAGTAGCAGCTAAATAATGTGTACACATGGATGTAGAGTGTGGAATGATAGCCAATGGAGACTTGGAAGGGTGCGGCGGTTGAGGAGGACTGAATGATGAGAAAGGACTTAATAATCACAATATATGTTATTCAGGTGATAGATACATATCTGAAAAGCCCTGACTTCACTAGTATGCAATCTACGTGCATATAACAAAATGGCATTTGTACTTCATTAATTTATACAAATAAAAATTAATGAGATTCTTGGCTGTACGTGGTGGCTCACGCCTGTAATCCCAGCTCTTTGGGAGGCCAAGGCAGGAGGATCATAAGGTCAGGAGATAGAGACCATCCTGGCTAACGCGGTGAAACCCCGTCTCTACTAAAAATACAAAAAATTAGACGGGCGTCGTGGCAGGCACCTGTAGTCCCAGCTACTCGGGAGGCTGAGGCAGGAGAATGGTGTGAACCTGGGAGGCGGAGCTTGCAGTGAGCGGAGATCGCCCAGCTGCACTCCAGCCTGGGCGACAGAGTGAGACTCCATCTCAAAATAATAATAATAATAATGATAATAATAATAATAATGAGGTTCTTGAGCATTGTTTCAGTGATTCTTCATAAACACAGAGACAAATGAAAATAGTAGCATGCCACATACATTGTTCACAGCCTTGCTTTTTTCACTTAAAAATATATTTTGGATGCTGGTCGTGGTGACTCACCTCTGTAATCTCAGCACTTTGGGAGGCCGAGGTGGCCAGATCACCTGAGGTCAGGAGTTTGAGACCGGCCTTCCCAACATGGTGAAACCCTGTCTCTACTAAAAATACAAAAAATTAGCTGGGCATGGTGGCAGGCGCCTGTAACCCCAGCTACTCAAGAGGCTGAGGCAGGAGAATCCCCAGAACTTGGGAGGCCAAGGTTGCAGTGAGCTGATATCAAGCCACTTGCACTTCAGCCTGGGCGAAAAGAATGAAACTCTGTCTCAAAAAAAAATTTATATATATATATATATATATATATATATATAAAATATAAATGTGTATATATATAATATATATGTATATATATTATATATTATGTATATAATATATGAGCTCATTCATTATCAGCGGTTAATAATTTATATCATTCTTTCTAAAAGTCTTTATCTTTTGAATGACCTAATTTATTCAGCCTTTTGTTAAATCATGTTTAATTTGTCAATTATAAACAAGTTCTACTTCATAATGTTTCACATATGTAATTTTATTCACATGCAGCTTACCAGTAGAATAAATTATAAAAAAGAAATTGCTAGATGTGCACATTAAAAATTTTGATAGATATTGCTAAATTGACTGTCATAGACATTTTTAGGATTTATACTCAGCAACATGTAAGTGAACCTATTTCTCACTCTAACACAGACTTTTTGTTCTTTGATGATCTGAAAAGACAGAAAATAGTATCAGAGTGTAATTTTAATTTGCATATCTCTTCTTGTAAATGAGGCTGAAAATCTTTTAATGTTCAAGAGCCATTTGTATTTTTAGTGTTCTGTTTATACCGTTCATTTTTCTTTCTGTGGAGCTAGATGTCCTTGTAAGAAATATATGTGCCGGAGTGTAGGAAATAAACTTCATGAAAATTCAGATGCGTGATACATTGATAAAACTTTTAGGAGTACAGTCATCTGAGGCATGCTGGGACATCCCCACAAAGGAAAAAGACAGGTCTTCTTCCCTCATTCCCATAACACCTACCACTGTGAAAAGTCAAAGAGCTTGGTGAGCCTCTTTGAACTTAGGAAGACATTCTACACTCAGGAATATTTACTGGGTCACACAGAAGGCTGCCAGTTTAAAGTAGGACCCAAGTCTATACAGAGATCAGTGGCAGTACCATGCTCTAGTGTAAGCTTTACTGCCTCTTTTGCCACATGGCCTAGCAAATAAGATAGTAATTTATGTATCTGTGGTGGTTAAAAATCATAGGTGAAGTCTTCTGTGAGCCCTCATATGATCACTATAGCACTTACCTCCAGAGTTTTAAAGCACGTTTTCTGCAGTCAAAAACTATGCTTGTTTTGGCAAAACACTCCTGACCTGGTGCTACACCCTAGTAAAGATAGAGAACCTGACAATGGGTTAAGGCATATAACCTGGCGTGCTCATCATGATCTATGCATCATTAGATCCACTGAATCACAAAGTCAGGCAGGCACAGAAGCAACACTTTTCCTAAGTGGAAGTGCTGCATCCTGGATTAGGCTCTAATAGATGGTTCAGACTTGATTACTTCTACTGCTGGTACCCCAAAGTCTTTCCCAATGGGCTACTGCCATATTAGAGCCTCAGTGAAGAGGGTCCTTGAGTATGGTATTGAAAAAATCCTTTCAATAGGCAGAGACATGGGTTCTCCCTGGAGAAAGCCATAGGTGAGTTATGTACAATACATTCTGGTGAATGGTGAGTAGCCTTACTTGTTTGTTTAGAAGTCTAGAAAAAAAAATTAAGAACTGGAATTTGCATTATGAAGTTGAAGAGACCACACACATCACCAGTTGTGTCTCATATAAATGTTGCTTAGAAAGCATTCACATCAGAGGATGCTGTCAGTGAGCAGGTAGAGTTAATGAGTTAGTCTTCTTCTGTCCTTAGTCACTCTAGTGCTCAGATAGTTAAGATAGTGGCCATGGTGGCAGAGATAAAGGATATATGTGGTATCAATAACATGGCTTTTTCACATAAAGACTAACCTAGTTACTACAACTACTGAGTGCCCAACTTGCTATGGGCAGAGACTTGCTGAGCTCCCACGCCAGACACCAGGAGCCTGATGATTACATCAGGCCTATTCCACATTAAGCGGTACAATAATTCTCACATACCAACATGATTCATATTCTAAATATGGGCTTGTCTTCTAAGCCTCTAGTATCTGTAAGAGCAATACCACCTCAGGGCTTACACAATGCCTTCTGCATTCATATATCTCACACAGATTGTCTTAGGCCAAGGCATGCAACAATGAAGTCATTACAATGTGTGACATCATTCAGATACAACTGACCTGATAGGATGGCAGAATGGAATACTGAACAGACAGCTAAAGCTCAACCCAGGCATATCTTGCATTGTCGAAGTGCTCTTCTACAGGATAAAACATAGTCACTATATCAGGGACCAGAATATGCTGCTGTGTTACTAGAATATGCAGGTTTCAGAACAAGTCGCAGAAACATCTTGCCTAAACATTTTTAATTTTTTCTTCTCTTCCATTTATTTTTAGCATATGATAGATTTGATTTCTAGTTTCTTGTGATGGTAGTGGGGTAGGAGAAATAGATAAATTTGGCTGAGAAAGACAGTAAGGGTTTTTCTTAGACTATGACTAATACCAAGGAACCAGAGAATGAAGAAAGGAATCATTGCTCTTCCTGGGATAATCGACTCCATTTATTAGGAACTAGGGCTGCTAATACACAGACTAAAGGGAGATATACATCTGTAATTCCGGAGATTCACTGAATATCTCGTGATGGTTCCAATTTCAGCGATAACTGTGAATAGGGCAATTCAACAACTGCAGCCTGACAGAAGCAAGGCAACTAACTCTTCAGAAACCATGAGGATGAAGATCCATGCTATCCTACAAGGCAAACAACCAGGAGAAGCGAAATGCCACCAGCAGGTATGGTGAATGTAGAATGCTTTATGGAGGCAGAGATGATAATTTGTAGGCCCGAGAGAGCTGTAGCAGTGAAGACTGTCCTTTATTTTTTAACCATTTTTAACCATTTTATTGCTTCTTTCAAGGATGAAGTATCTCCTTCTCAGATATTCATACAATATTAGATATCATAGAGGACACTAGATCTAAGTAGTGAAAGGGATTGATTTTTGCATTTAATTTATGAGTCTTCCCAGATTTATCTGGCCACACCTGCCTTCCAGGTTTTGACTTTGTGACATGCCCGTCTATTAATGCCTGTGGTTATCTTATCATCCCCTGAGAGCATGGCCAGTTTCCATTCCTCTGGCCATAATAGGTTGAAAGAACCCCCATATATAAGCCCAGCCAACTGGATCCATGAAAATTGTTTCCTCTTATTCCTGCCAGAGTCAAATGAAGTGTCTGCATCATAAGACATCTTGCCCAGAGACTTCATGATGGGGTCATGTAGCATAAATCAGAAGGGAAGAAAAGTAAATATCCCACGAACCTAATTTGTCCAACAAGGAAAGAAAGATTAGAAAGAACCAGCAGATCAATTTATCTTTTTCTTTCTCCTTGTCAGAATGTTCTGAGGTATAGTATTCTCAGACAGCCTTTCTGTAGATGCCCTGTACTTTGAAACAAACAGTTATGTTTTCTGTGAAACTCAGTAGTTCATTATCATGTATTTTCTTTTTATTATACTCTAGACCCAAGTTTTCTTGTTACCCTGAAATACACATGACAAAGTATTAGCACATATTTTCCCCATTAGGTTTTATTTTCTATCGTACTTGGACTAAGAAAAAGTCTCTTACTTAATTTCAGCTATATCTACACTCAAATGGTTAATTCATCTTTCATTTGTAGAATATATTTTTATTTTCATAGCCATCAATTATTTTGTCCTCTCTTTAGGAAGCTTTTCTACATCTATTATTTCTTCTCACATTAGAAATAATTTTACTTTTATTCGTTCTTTATATTTTTATTCTTGGATACATATTTGGTCAAAGTTTTTACCCACTTGGTAGCAACATTTTTGTTCTGATGATGTTCCTAATCTATTTGTGTGTGTGTGTGTGTGTGTGTGTGTGTGTGTGTGTGTATGTGTGTATTCGTGTTATTTTCCTACTTTCATTTTGTAGTACCTCTGCAGAGCTTATGTGATGGTTCCCTTTTTCCCCTTTCTTCGCTTTGTTTTAAAAATTTAGTTCTCCCTTGTGTTAATGAGAACCCAAGCTGGCATGTGTGTTGAGTATATTTCAAGTACTGTGTATTACATATGTTATTTTAACCCATACTCCTCATCTGCACTCAGAGTATTAACAGTGAACTAAGCACAGTGCAGAATTCATCCCACAGCACTTTCCTACTTTGCCAACAAATTGTTCAGTGCAAAAATTGTGTATGAGCTTTATCTCTTGATTCTGTAACCATTGCTTCTTTAAAATCTAAATCAGGGCCTGTCCAAAAAAAGAAGCCCTGTGTGTCTGTATTACATGGGAAAAGAGTGTTTTTGAGTCACTTTTTTAAGATCTGCAACTGGAGGCAACTTATTTATACAGTGTCCTGTATATCACTTCATTGATTTTAGAAACCCTTCATTTTGTTTAGCAGTTTCATGTTTCATGTAGTCCTAATTTAATTGAGGATGGAGTATACAGGCCTGTTTTCTATTCTCCTTACTGCCTTGGATATAAGAGTGAAAGCCAAAAACAGCTGAAAGTCCATTCTCTAGACCTTACTTTTTAATAACACAATCTTGGTTGCTGAAAGTTCTCTTTTTCAGATGGAATGTTTGATTGCGCACATTTGGGGAATCTGGAGAGCTTTAGGTAAGGTGGCAGAAAGCCCACTTTCAAGTTGCTCAATCCAAAAGATGCCAGAAAAAAGAAGAAAAAGCAAAAAAAAACAGAAAGACAAAAAACTCAATAGTCTAGAGATCATGTGTAACTCCTTGTGTTTGCATACCATCTTGTTTTTTATATGTGTCTCTCATTTGCTCTTTCAAATAAAATACTGTACAGTGACCAAGATAAGTTTTACTATTTCTATTTATTATATTAATATCTCTCATTTATATAAAGAAACCTAACTTTAGAGAGCTTAAGTTGCCTGAGGTAATTTATTGCTGATGACATTAATGATACTTCTTTGAAAATCAAAAGTGATAGTTAAAAGAATAATAATTATTCATGATTGTCTATTAAAAGACAATGAAATTAGAATGTGAGACTACTCAGCAAAACAACTTTTCCAGGAAAAGTAGGGAAGTAAATGTGATAGTTTTGTGTGTCAACTTGGCTCAGCTATAGCACCCAGTTATTTAATCAAATGCTAGTGGGGTGTTGCTGTGAATGTATTTTGTAAATGTGATTAACATCTATTATCAGTTGAATTTAAGTAAAAAAAGAAAATTATCCTCATCCATTCAGTTGAAGGCCTGAAGAGTAAATATATAGCATCATAAAGAACAAGGAATTCTGCCTCGTGACTGCAGCATGAACACCTGTCTGTGTTTCCAGCCTGGTCGACAGATTTTAGACTTGCTAGTTCACACAGTCTTGTGAGCTAATTCCTTAATATAAAAGAAATATTCCTCTGGTTCTCTTTCTCTCTCTCTCTCTCTATATATATATTTATATATAATGTGTATGTATATATGCATAAAATATACATATATGTCTGTATATATAATATATATAGAATATACAAATAGAATACTATAAATATATAATATACACATATATGTGTATAATAAATATATATGTCTATATTATAGACAAATATACTGTATATGTATATATAATATACTTGTGTGTATCTTATATAATATATATCTGTTTATATATGTATATATGTGTATAAATGTATACAGATATATATAAGTGCATATATAATATAAGTGTGTGTGTGTGTGTGTGTGTGTATGTAATTGATTCTAGTTCTCTGGAGAACCTTGACTAATACAATGAGGTATATTCACATAAGGTAGTTTTATCATCCTTTTATAAGATAATTCCATAGGATGAATGGCTGAGAAACTTGTGCCAATGAACTCTGGTCCTGTTACACGTGAGCTCTGCACTCACTCAGAAAGATCTTCTGGGCCACCATGATTACAATAAAAAAAAATCCTCCCATAGGGACATGTTTATATTTTGAAGAATTGGGAATAAAGAACTATTATCTTACATGGTAAGAATCTCTAACAATAGAGACATCAGAGGTATGGAAATAAATTATGAGGAGACAGTATATAGATTAAACTGAAAGTCAAAAATAATCTAGGAATGATCAGATAACTGCCCATATTTAATGACTAAATGAGTAAATATGACAAAGTCAGAATTTTTAAAAATTAGGAATGTCAAATGTATTATATAAAGGAGAAATTGAATTTAATATTTATATGATAAAAAGGATAATTACATTATGAATGTATAGAATCAGTTAATTTTATAACAACAATAATAATTACTGATCCAAATTTCTGCCTTTCCAGGGTAGCTCTGGAACTTGTAGAGCTGAAGTGGAGAAATCAGGCAAGTGTTGAACCTACATGTTAAGACACTGTTCAGGTGAGTCTTAGGAAAGCCCTAAAATGAGTGAAACGATATATGTTACCCCAGGTAACTAAGATGTGGTTGACATAGTTTAGCAAGATTAATATATAGACAAAGGAACCTTATTCCAAATTTTAAGGCGAAGATGGAGTGAAATGCAGCATGGACATAGCAGTGTTTTCGGGGCTTAGTTAGTATACAGAAAACCAAACACCGCATGTTCTCACTCATAGGTGGGAACTGAACAATGAGATCACTTGGACTCGGGAAGAGGAACATCACACACCGGGGCCTATCATGGGGAGAGGGGAGGGGGGAGGGATTGCATTGGGAGTTATACCTGATGTAAATGACGAGTTGATGGGTGCTGACGAGTTGATGGGTGCAGCACAGCAACATGGCACAAGTATACATATGTAACAAACCTGCACGTTATGCACATGTACCCTAGAACTTAAAGTATAATAATAAAAAATAATTAAAAAAAAAAAAAAAAAAAGAAAACGCACAGATCCATAAACTCACAGGAGATTCTGAGACATCCAGGACTCTAAGTATCATCATTTGAAGATTATGATGAGCATTTTGAGTGACTCTAAAGTTTATATAAGAAACCTAAAGTTAAATACAAAGTTGTGACATTAGAACCAAAACGAATGAGATGTGAATAAATTTTCTTTATAAAGAGTGATGGCATTTTTCATTTACTTTTGTATTTTTTCAAAAAATATTAAAGACATAAAAGTTGTTTAAAGCTGAAAAAAATAATTTTCGTTTCAATTTAGAAAATTTGAATTTTTGTAGAGAATATTATAACCCACTTTTGTTCCTCTGTAAGACAATATACTTTTGGACTTTTCTGACTAATATAAGCTAATGAAAACTGTGGGTATTTCCAGATAAGTTGAAGTGTCAGGAAAATCTAATTCTTCTTTGGGATTCTTTGCTAATTTTCTTACTGAAGTGTTACTTGTTTTTTGCTACTGACTTACCACAGCATGGCACCTTCTAGCCTGAGGAGGTTAAGACAGACAATCGTTCTTTAAGATTCATTTTTAAGTTTGAGATACACATCACAGTGGATGTCAAATTCTGCAAGGGAAGGTCTCATAAGGTCTAAAGCAGAGGAAGATTATTGTTTCAGGAAAAAATTTGATCACTTGGGATTTTATTTTAAAAAGTAGGGCGCGGTGGCTCAAGCCTGTAATCCCAGCACTTTGGGAGGCCGAGACGGGCGGATCACAAGGTCAAGAGATCGAGACCATCCTGACTAACCCGGTGAAACCCTGTCTCTACTAAAAAAATACAAAAAAATTAGCCGGGCGAGGTGGCGGTGCCTGTAGTCCCAGCTACTTGGGAGGCTGAGGCCGGAGAATGGCGTGAACCTGGAAGGCGGAGCTTGCAGTGAGCTGAGATCCTGCCACTGCACTCCAGGCTGGGCGACAGAGCCAGACTCCGTCTCAAAAAAAAAAAAAAAAAAAAAAAAAAAAAGTAGACTTCTAGATTCAGAAACTGTGGGGGTAAGGGAAGAATACATTATTAAAGACAAAGGTATCAGGGATTGCTCCTGCTGAGGAGACAGTCCTATAGTTTCTCATCCAAAGCTTGTTAATTGACTGAATCTTGCTACAGAAAGGAGAATTTGTGGTATATTATCACCACAAGACGTTGATAAATCGTAACTATTCACTTGAGCACACATGAAAGAATCAAAATGTGGAATTTCTTCTAAACAGATCTCAGATAGTACATTTCATCTTAGCCCTGGTTCACTGATCTTAAAGGAAGCCTCAAGACTCATGTTCTCAGCTGGTTTTCTGTTAGTTTCTAGAAATATTTTGATAGAGACCTGAATTTTTCTTCACTCAAACATCTTTTAAAAAATTAACCAACAGTGATTTCAGCTTGAGAGGCTAAAATCATGAACATTCTGAATTACAAAAACGTTTTCTAAAACAAACCAAAGATTTGTAGTGTTTAAGTTATTCCCACTAATGTCACAATTATTGCATTCATGTGTAAGAATTCTTGCAGGCCAGGCTCAGTGAGATGGATTGTCAGTTTCAGTTCTCATCATAGTCCTAAATATTTAGGCACAGTACTGTTATCATCTCCATTTTATGGATGATAAAATGAAGAACCAAATAAGTTAACCAGCAAAAGTTTGTAGAACTGGGTAGTGGAGTTAAGTGAACTCAATTTATGTATCACAAAACATAGAATTTGAAAATATGTCTGACTGATGATTGATTAAGAGCATTATGATGTATTTGCAATTTTTAGAAAGACAAGCTAAATGTATCTTTTACCTGAAGATCTTTCTTCACTTATAGAAAAATTCATAATGTCTTGCCCAATAATTTCCACTCCTCTGTGCTCTTGTTGCAGGTGGCATTGTCTGATGCTTATTTTTCTAGGCCCCCATATGTTTACATGCTTTAGGACACCCACTTGTTTCTGCTGGATAATTCAAGAAAGTTAATTTCACAGAAACACTTGTCTACTATGCACATAGTATATGTTGGGCTTTCCTAACTCTGACTTCACCCCTAAATGCTCATTCATCCCAAAGTGTGAGTGTGTAGTCACATATAACTAGATAATGTATTTGAACCATAGTTCCTTGACTTTAGGGATTCTAACAGAATTCCATAAAAGTTTGCTGTGTGGATCCCATGAGAAAATAAATGTAAAGTGCTCAGATCAGTGACTGAAATATACTAACTAGGTGCAGTATCAGCAACATTAGGAAAAGCAGGGGTAGCAATGTTTGTGGTAATAGACATGGTGGTAGTTGCAGATAAAGTATCTGTTTTATTATAGTATTTTTGGTTTCTAATTTTAAAAGATAAGAAAAGATCATGGAGCAAAAGTGAAAAGAGGGATAAAGTATTTTATTTTATTTTTCTTATTTAAAGGGAATAGAGACCACAATGCAGTTTACTGTAAATTTCTCATTGTTTAATAATCATTCAATCTGTCTCCCTGGGATGCCCTCAGGTACAGAAGTTAAGAAGGATTTTAAACTACTTAAAAATAGGGGTTAGGAAATGAGAGAAGGACTGTTCAAAACCAAGATTTGGTTGTGAAAGAAAGTGAAAAACAATATTACTCTTCAACCTCTATTCAGGTGAATATAGCGATAACAAGGGGATGGTTTTAAGTTAATGTGTTCCCGGTGGAGTTACATTGCTGAGTAGCATTTCATATAACAATTTGCAATTTTGAAAATGCTTTATTTATATATTATCTCCTTTATTCTTTGCAACACAGCTGAGAGTCTCAGCGAAGATTGTATAATCATTTTACAGCAGAAAATTTAGGCTTAAAGCATTGAGTCATTTACTCAGTATCAAATAGGCAAAGCATACCTGGCCAGTGCTATAAAATTTTTATCCTAATGCACGTTGACCTTTTTTTCTATATTGTTTTATACTCTTCCACTCATATTGTAAGATTATATGATTAAAGAATACTGCCTTTTACATTTTCTACAGTAGATCTGTTCTTAACCAGATAAAAGATAGGATAAATGCAAAAATACATCTGAGGTGAAATCATCACTAGATATTAAAAGCTCTATTTTTACTTTCTTGAGAAGTGGTGAATGTTTTCCAACTCTCACATGTTTCTGGCTTCTAAAAAATGTAACCAAATATATATTCAATGACTTAAATGTATAATTAAATGGATTTCAAAAAGAGGTCAAATGCATCATTACAAATCATTATCATGTATCTTGTTTTTTAGACTCTATCAATAAAGGACCAACTGAAAGATGAAGTACAAAAAAACTAACTTTCAATGACTAATTAGCATACTATTTTTAACTTTAAAATATCAATTGTCTATGTGTGTGTATGTATGTATATAAAGAAGGTTTTTATAGTCAGCATTTTTTCATTTTCCTTTTAAGACAATTTATTTTTCAATTAAAAAGAGTTGATACTTGGTACTATCAGAAGTATCACTAGAATATACAATACAGAACTTCTAATATAAGCATGATAGACATATCTATATGAAATCATCTGTGAATCTAATCAAAGTATTAATCTTCAAATCTAATTAAAATTTTAAACATTTTACAGCTTTCTTATATTTTCTTTCTTTGCATGTGGTAACAGGGAGCCAAAATGTGTACCCTGATTTGGGAGTGTCACACATTTTAAGAAACAAATGTGACTATATTTTCTTATAAAAAAATAAGTCTAATATTGAAAGAGTGTTGTTAATTGAAAAGTTAATCTGTGTAACTCATCCTGGAAACTTTACCTGGCAGATTCATGGCTATTTCTAAAAGACTTCAAACATTGTTTAATGCTTCCTTATGTGCGTTTTGGTAAATTGTTAGGTAATATATCTGCTGACACTGAAAGTAAGAAGTTGCCTTTTCCTGTACTATATTTTCTTCAGTCATGGTAAGAACTTGTTGCTTAAAGTGTCAACTTTACCACACACTGATTAGAAAAGGTGTTTCTCAGTTTTGGTTGCATCCTTGTGACTGCCAAAAATATGAAATAATATTTATTCTATAGTCACATTTCCAAACATTTATTATTTTTTCATTGTCATATAAAACCATTAGAACAATAGATTTTAAAAATGATCTACAGCCCTGTCATCAATTGAATCAACTTGACACCATTTTTGTTTCAATCTTATTCAAATGAATAAAAAAATTAAATAGCTATAATTATAAACAGCTTGTTAATACTTTTCTAATTTTTTTATCTTTTGAACAATTCAGTTCTCAAAAGATAGAAGAACGTTTTAAAAACAAATTCCAGTGAAATAGTAAAATTAACATTGTTTTGGGTTTATATGTGGTTATTATTTAATAAAAAAATAAATCTAGTTGGACCCTAGACTGGTTCCTTCATTTGATTCTTGCTTATATTCTGGCATGATGTGCCATGCAGAAATATAAGGCTTTTTCATTTCAAAATAAAAATATAATTAAGCTTCACTGCTCAGTAAAAGAAAAGCTATAACTCCAGCCATACCTATAGTGG